CCCCGGCGGCCCACGCACGGCCCCGAGCACGCGGGCACGGGCGGGCACCCGCACCGCCGCCGCGCACATGCGTGTGCACCGCCCACGCGGGCACATGCGGCGGAATGGGAGAGCACATGCACTGCCGCCGCGCACATACATGTGCATGCTCCCACGCACGTACAGGCATGCACGGCCCCGGCATGGGCGCGCACAGGCACCGCCACCATGCACATACAGGTTTACCGCTCACACAGGCACAGGTGGGTACACGTACAGACGTGGGTGAGCACACACACCACAACCATGCACATGTGTGCACCTCCCACATGAGCACAGGCAGGCACATGCATGGGCACGGACAAGCACGGGCACAGCTGCCATGCCCGTATGTGTGAACACAGGCACACATGCACAAGCATGCACATCCCAGGCATAGGAAAGCACATGCACCACATCCATTCACATATGTGCATATGGCCACACATGCATGGGCGAGCACACGCACTGACACCTCCACACACCTACTTGTACACACACTCGCACATGCATGCAAACTGTATGCAACGTGCACTCACAGCACAGAAAGCCAACCGTGTCCTGGGTGCATCACCAGAAGTGTGGCCAGCAGGTTGACGGGGGGGGGATTCTCCCCCTCTACTCCACTCTGATGAGACCCTCCTGAAGCTCTGCATCTGGCACTGGGATCCCCAGCACAAGGAGGACATGGACCTGTTGGAGTGGGACCTGAGGAGGCCACAGAAATGGTCTGAGGGATGGAACCCCTCTGCTAGAAGAAAGGCTGAGAGAGTTGGGGTTGTTCAGCCTGGAGAAGAGAAGGCTCCGCAGGGAGACCTTATTGTGGCATTTCAGTAGGTAAAGGGGGCTTCTGAGAAAGATGGAGAGAGAGTTTTTACCACTGGATCAGGTTTCCCAGAGAAGCTGTGGATGCCCCATCCCTGGAAGTGTTCAAGACCAGGTTGAGGTTGAGCAATCTCATCTAGTGAAAGATGTCCCTGCCCACGGCGGGGGGGTGGACTAGGTGGTCTTTGAAGGTCCCTCCCCACCCAAACCCTTCTGTGATTCTATGGTGCACACACCCCCACAAAGGTGTATTTGTATGCTCTGGAGTGTGCATATGGCATTCACATGCATGTGTGCACACATGGATGGGGGTGTGCCCCCAAACACACCTCCCTGGGTGGGAGACAGAGTCTGGTCCCACTTTCTACCCTGCAGTGTGCACATGGCCCCAGCCCTGCAGTGTGGGGTGCCACGGCCCCCAGTGCCCAGCCCTCACCCACTGCTGTTCTGGGACTCCCATGCTGGCAGCCAGCCAGGCCCAGACAAGAGTCCCACACCCCCCCAGACCGCAGCTCACCCTGTCACCTATGGGCCATGCCCAGGGGCAGGGGGCCTGAGGCTCCCTTGTCCCCTGCCTTGTGCATGGCTTTGCCCTTTGGGCTGTAGTAAGTAGGGGGGCAGGGGGACCTGCTGTGGGATTTGGACCTCCACATTTTGGGACTCTCCATTTCCCATGTGGGGCAGGGGCAGGGGCGGCAGGCTTGGCTCTCAGTGAACCATCACTACCCCCGCGTCCTCATCCTCCCCCAGCTCCTGGTCCCTCAGGACCAGGGGTGTGGGATATGGGGGGACGGACCGGGGATCTGTAAAATGGTGAGATTATAGTGATGGGGAGACAGACAGCAGGGCCAGAGGCTACCCCAGTGTGTCTGGGTCCTGTCTGCACCTCTGGGAGACCAAGGAGCCCTGCATGCTGCAACAAGTCTGCTGGCCTGCAGCTCCCCTGGGGTCCCATGCAGGGATGCCCAGGATGCCCCACCCCACGGCCGCATCCAGCACAGGCACTGGGGGCCCCGGTACCCAGCAGCCTGGACGTGCCCCCATGCCCTGGGTCCACGGTCCTGCCTGGCAGCAGTGGGAGCTAGCTGCATGGAAAGACAAGCAGGTCTCAAAGGGGCCATGGGGCACAGCCACCTGCATGCATGCGTCCCCCTCCCCAGTGTGCCTGTGGTTATCTGTACACATGGGCTTGCACAAGTGGCCCTGCCCACGCACATGTACACACACTCACCCACATGTGCACACATTCACCCATGTGTGCTTACCTGCCTGTGTGTTTGCTCACCTGTGTGTGCATACATTCACACGTGCACATCACGTGCATGGACACATTCACCCACATGTGTGTTCACTTGCATGTGTGGTCACTCACACTGGTGCTTGTGCTCCCCAGCATGGGGCTGTGCTCCTCCCTGTGCACTCACATGCATGTGGATGCGTTCACCCATGTGCGTGCATGTGTTCACCTGCGTGCATTGATGTGCATGTGCCTGTATTCCCCCCATGCAGCTGTGTGCTCACACTCAGCATGCTTTCAGCCAAGCACCTACATGCTCCCATGTGTGCGCATGTGTTTACTCTGGTGTGTGCTTGCATATATTCATACACACCACCCCTGTGCACATGTGCTCAACTGCACGTGCATGGGCTCACCTGCAAGCATCCTCCCATGTTTCCGTGCCAACGTGCGTGTGCATACGCTCCCACACATGTGCATGCACCCGCCGATGCGTGCCCATGCCCACCCACACGTGCGTGTGCTCACACATACCTGCACTCATGCACCCACGGGCAGGCGTGCGCACGCGTCCACCCCCGTCTGCGTGTGCTCACACGCGTGTGCTTGTGCCACCTAGCGGCCGGCGCTGCCCTTGCACCGCGGCTCTCCCAGCCCTGCGCGGGGTCGTGGGGCTGCCAGGGGTGCACAGCGGGCCTGCGCTGCCCTGGCACGGGGAGAGGGTGCCAGGCCCCGCTCCGTGGTGCCCGGCTGGCACGCGGAGGCCCTGGGGCAGGCATTTGGCCAGCAAGGGAACGATGGCCATGCCCGCCTGCACCACCCTGCCGTGCTGGGGTGAACCAGGGCACCCCAGAGCCAGCTCAGCAGCAGCACTGCACCAACCCCCTGGGCACTGCCACCCTAACCGCCACCTCCCCGGTGCCACCCCAAAAGTTCCAGCAGCAATGTCATGGCTGTGAGTGCCAGGGACAATGCTACAACCGTCACCCAGGCATTGTGCCCCCTCCATGTGCCCCTGGGTAGGGGTGCAGGCACTGCCCTCTGCCCTGACCCAGCCTGGTAGCAGTGGGTGCAGAAGACACCCCTCCCCTGCGCACGGCTGCATTCCAGGCGCCTGCAGTGCCACAGGAGCATTTGGGTCCCAAGAGCTTGCCAGGGTTTGGCTCACCTCAGCTGGAGCATCCCCCCGACAGCAGGCAACCACCAGCTCCAATGCCACTGGCCGGAGATGCAGGGACAAACCACATGAAAACTCAGTTGTGCAGCTGCTGCTGCTCCTTTACTGTGAGAGAGGCACAATGGCATGCAACAAGGCACAGGCACTGGCACTGGCACGCTGCCCTGGCACGGTGACCTGCTGAGAGCTGCCAGGCCCCCCTGAGAGCAGCATGTCCCCCAGCTCCCAAAGGGTGCAGTCTTTGGTCCTAGCAGTGTCCCCGGGCAGGCACAGGGGGTGGCTGAGATGGGGGGGCATGCAGGGCACCCCAGTCCTGCCAGGCACCATCCCAGGTAGGGCCAGGTATGTGTGGAGTGTAGTGTTCAAGAGCCTGGGAGGGACCACGTCAGGAGCAGCCACGTGGGGAGGATGCTGCAGTGACAAGCAGGCAGGTATGGCCGCTGCCAGCAAGCTGGGGCTGGGCTGCCTGGCTGTGGCCACCCCCAAAGGTGCTGGGGACCATCCTGCTTCCCCAAAATGCTTCCCCCCGCCTCGCCCCAAGCTGCTGCTGGTTGCATGAAACCCCTGTGCAAAATCAGCATCAAGGCACCTGCCTGCCCCATGGAGACAGACAGACAGCAGTGGGGCACGGGGGTCACCCAGCGTGAGGCTGAAGTGCTAGCTAGGGCTGCTGCAGCACAGAGGAGGGGAACAGGTACTCCATTTTGTCCTTAGTGTGGTTTTTTTCCTCTATTAATCCCTCCTGGTGCTGACACAGAGGCTGGAAGCGAGGGCTGGATGGTCCCCATGCCCACAGCACTGGTGGCAAGGGGTACCCACAGACCCTGGTCTACTGCTCTCAGCACCCCAGCCCCTGGCAGGGCACTATACCGGGGCACCCACCACAGTGTCCCCCGGGAGAGGGGTCCACAGCACCTGCCTTGGCCCCCCTCGGTGTCTTGGGCCGGCAGGGAGGCGGTTAAGGACCTGCTAGCCAGGGCCATTGTTTTGGACACAATACAGAGGAAGAGGATGCTGGGGCCAAAATTCCTCCAGCTCCCACCGGGCAGATGGACAGAGCTGGACAAATACGATGGTTTAACCCTTCCAGGCACTGCATAGGGATGCGTCAGGGCACCCTGGGGGGTGTTTAAGGCGTGCAGTGCAGCACCAGCTGCGGGACAGGCACTGGTGTGCAGGACAAGGTGGAAGGACTCCCACAGGCACAGAAAGACCCGGGGGGGGGTGGCAGGATCTGTCCATCTGGTCCTGCTGGGCCGCTGGGTGGCTGTAGAGCCCAGCGCAGCTCTGTGGCATGACCCCCGCTGCCAGCACCTGGACTGGCACCCCCTCCCCTGCTCGGTAAACCAGAAAAATAAATAAAAGGCAGGGGCTGGACAGACAGATGCAGGGAGAGCCCCCAAGGGGCTGGATCTGCTTTGGCACCAAGCTGGGCTACGGCCAGGGTCCCGAGGGGAGGCCGGGCAGGGGGCTAGCAGCCCTTGGGGACCTGGCCAAGGCTCTCACGCAGGCACCGGAGCTGCTCCTGGCCCAGCTTGATCTTCTCCTCCAGCTCCCGCTGCTCAGCGATGAGGGCCGACTTCATCTTGACAAAGTGCTGGTAGTCCTGGAGGTGCTCGGCGGGCAGGTACCGCGCCACCATGGCGCCCACTGCCTCCTCCCGCCGCCCCACGTGCTCCTTCAGCTCCTTGGCATCCTCCAGCTGCGCCACCAGCAGCCGCTGCTTCTCCCGCAGGGCCACCTGTGGGCAAGACTGGCAGTGTTGGTGGGGAGTCCCACGCCCCAATGGCCTGTGGGTGCTCCCTTGACCTGGGCCCACCTTGTCCTCGGTGGGGGCGTGCGGCCCCAGGCTGCCCAGGGCGGTCTCCACCCTGGCCAGGCGCCCCGAGAGGGAGAGCAGGAGGTTGACCACCTTGTCCAGGTCACCCACGAAGAGGCGGTACTTGTCGAACTCCCCTGGGGTGCAGAGGGCTTGCAGACGGGCAGCCACGTCCTCACCCAGCGCCCCGTTGGCACTGATGTCCTCCTGCAGCCCCCGCTGTGCCTCCCGCAGCACCGCCAGCTTGCGGCTCAGGCTCTCAATCAGCTGCAGCTGCCAGAGGGAAGGGTCAGGGGCAACTGGGGCCACCCCCTGTTGGGACTGGGGAACTGGCACAGGGGTGCAGGGGTGCCACGCTGCACTGGGCCCCACAGACCCTGACCATCTGGCAACGCCCCTGGTTCCCATGAGCTACCGGCAACGCCCCTGCTCCCTGCGAGCATCTAGCAATGTCTCAGACACTGTGAGCATATGGCAATGCCCCCAGTTCCCGTGACACCCAGTGATGCTCCTGGTCCCTGCAAGCATCTGGCAACGCTCCTGGTTCCCACGAGCATCCAGTGACACTCCCAGGCCCCTTAAGCACCCAACAATGCCCCTGCTCCTTGCAGGCATCTGGCAACATCCCAGCTCCTGTGAGCATCCAGCAATGCCCCTGGTCCCTGCAAGCACCCAGCAATGTCCCTGGTGCCCATAAGCAACCAATGATGCCCCAAGTCCCTGTGGGCATCTGGCAAAGCCCCTGGTCCCCATGAGCACCTGGTGATGGCAGCGGGGAAGCCCAAGGGCATCGTCCCCAGCAGTGCCCACTTTACCTTCTTTTCCACCAGCTCGTGGTCCACCTCCTCCTCCTCATCCTCTGAGCTCCCCTTCACCACCTCTGGCAGCTCCTTCACCTTGCCGAGCAGCTCAGCTTTGCCCGCTGCCGCACCATAATATGCCGGGTAAGAGGTGGAGCTGGCAGTGCTCCCGGGGGGTGGCGAGATGGGCTCGAAGCCCTGCCTGTGGGGACAGGGGCTCAGTGCCGGGGGTGGCGGGGTGCAGCCTATCCTCGGCACAGTGCCCGGTGCTGTGCCAGCCCTACCTGTCCTGCGCCAGGGCCTCCAGGCGCCAGTCCTGCTGGAAACGCTCCCGCCAGGCCTGCCGCTCCCCCACCACCAGCAGCTCACCCATCAGCTCGGTGGTGGTGCCAAGGGGGGCCGAGGGGGCCAGGATGCTGGCCAGGGAGCGGTCCCTGCCCGCCACATTGCACAGCAGCTCCTCCGAGTCCACGCGGCAGGGCTGGGGCTGGCCGCCCTGGCAGCTTGCCCCCTCCACTGCTCCAGGGCTGGGCTTGGGTGCCTCCGGGGTGGCGGGGCCAGGGCCACCATGCAGGGGCAGAGAGCACTCACCCACCCCGCGGGGGCCAGCCCAGCCCCGCTCCTGGTTCCGACTGAGGCTTTGGGGCTGCTCCTCCATCTCCCAGGGGTGCTTCACCTTCAGCCGCTCCTCCCCGGCCCCCACTGCCCTGCTGACACCCAGCCAGGGGCACCCATGTCAGCTCCCTTGCCCACCCATGGGGAATGGGGACACGCAGGGCCATGCCCACTCTAGGGAAAGAGGTCAGGGATGTCCCCCACCCTGAGAAAACCCCACAGCCTGTCCCAACTGGTGGATTAGGATGCTCCGACGCAGGGTTCAAAGGGCCACATGGCCCCAAAAGCGACCCCGTGCCCAGGCTGTGCCCACAGCCCTGCTCCCACCCACCCCCATGCTGCAGCAGCACTTGCCTGCAAATCTCAGCGCTGCCAGGATCGGGCTCGGACGTCCTACGGAGTGATCCGGAGGGGTTGGGTCGGGGCCAGGCACCCAGTGGGGCAGGGGGGCGAGCAGCATGCCCCCGGGACCGGCCCCCCTGCTCGCCAGTGAGGCTCTGTGACCGCTCGCGCACAGCCTCAGCAATGCTGTGGGTCGGCACAGGGGCGGTGGTGAAGGCAGAGCCGTGCCCGGAACCATTCCGTAGGTGCTGGGACATCCGGCGCTGCCTGTACTTCTCCCAGTTGGGGGGAGGTGGGCGGGGAGGTGGAGGGCCCTTCTTTTTGGGGACGCCAGGGGGGTCCAGCTTGGCACGGAGAAGGTCCCTCTGGTCGCGGCCCCGGGGGCTGATGGGCTCCAGGTTGAGGTGGCTCTCGGAGAAGGCCCTGCCCCGCAGTGGGCGGTGCAGGGGGTCCGGGGGGCTCTCAGGGGAGCGGGCCAGGCGGTCGCCATCCCATGAGAGATCGTGCGTGGATGTGGCCCGGTAGCAGGATGGCCACTCCGGCTCGGCGCTCTCAAAGCAGGGGTGAAAGGGGCCGAGCCTTGGGAAGCCCGGTTGATAGCGGGAGAGCTCACTGGGGAGAGAAGAGGGCACCCGTCCCCCCCCAGTCACCCCCCCCAGCAGCTCACATCCACCCCTGCCTCATTTTCCCCAGCTGAACTCACCCACCCCCACTGGTGGGGAAAGCCCGGGCTTGCCTGGTGCCTCCGCACTGGGCACAGCCCCCTGCAGATGCCCCCAGCCCCCCAGGGATGGGTAAGGAGGGACCCCACCCCGCCATGGGCACCTCCTCACACCCCCGGGCCCCGCTTGCCCAAGGTGGCAGGAACCGCCACTTCGCAGGGCACAGCACAGCTGTAGCCGGGGCGTTAAGGGAGGCACGTTGTACATCACCAACCAAAACCACAGCAGTCCCCACACCTCACTGGCAGAGGTCCCCACCAAGGGGCATGCACATCCCGGCACCTGGCATGGGCTCACCTGATGGACTGACTGGCTTTCCTCGTTATCGCAGGTGGTTCCCACTCATCCAGAGGAAATTCCTGCGTGGGGGAAGGAGAAGGAGTGTGAAAGCAGGGTCAGCGTCCCCCTCCCCAGCACCACCCGACCCATCCCCATCCAGGTGCAGCAGGCATGCAGGGGGTTGGCAGGGCCCCTGGTGGGCAAGTACCCCCCACCCCAACCCAGGGTCATGCTCCAGGGGTGCGGGGTGGTGCCTGTGCTGCTCGCCGGCACAGTCCCAGGGGGTCACTCACCGGGACAAAAGCTCTCCGGGGGGGCCAGGCGTTGCTCTCCTCCCGCCCAGGGCGGGGGGCCGGGCAGCAGCACTCAGGGCAGCGCACCCAGGGCTGGGGGTGGCAGCGGCAGGCGTGGCCACGGGGCAGCGGTGGGGGGCACAGGTCCCCCCCACAGTAGCGGCAGGGCTCAGGGCGCAGGGGAACCCCATAGGGGTAGGAGAAGCCCCGCAGGTACTCCAGCTCCCCTGGCCTCCCCAGCGGCTTGTAGCAGGGGGGCTGCTCCCGGCAGCAGTCGGCATAGGGGCCAGCAGAGCCAGGGCGGCCAGGCGAGGGGGGGCCATACGGCTGGTCCACGGAGAGGCGGCGAGCGTCCCGGCGCTCAGGGCCGGGGGGCTGGAAAGCACCAGGATCACCCACCGGGGGCTTGCCATGCCGGGGCGGCGCTGGCCGGCTGCTCTCCTCGAAGAACCGGCGGCGGTCGGCAAAGGGCAGGAGGACAGCCTCATCGCTGCCCTGTGGTGGAGAGCTGGGGTCCACTGGCCCCTGGCCATAGCCCTCCAGCTCACGGGGGCTGGGCGAACGCTGCGGCTGCAGCTTGCGCTCCGGGGACCAGCGCCAGTGGCCCTGGCCTGTTGGCATCACCCGCTCAGGGGACGGGGGCCCTTTGGGGACTGGCAGCGGGTCAGGGGTGGGGATGCCCCGGTCCCCCAAGCGGCCGGGGTTCCTGCCATCCTCGCTTGGCGTGGGGCTGAGATGCTCAGCGGAGGTGCGGGGTCCCTCCGCCGGCATGCTGCCCTCGGGGGGCTCCTCTGCCTCCTCCACCGGCTCCTCACCAGGCGGTGGGGCGCCAGGACCCCGGCTTTTCTGCAGCTGGGCCTTGCGTCGCTGGATCTCATTGCGCAGGCTGGTGGCAAAGCGGTCGCTGCGGCGGCGCATCTGAGCAGAGCGGTGGGGAGGACCCCCAGCCCGCCGACCCCCTGCCCGGCTCTCCTCCTGCGCCGGCCCTTCGGTGCTGCGCGCCGGGCTGGCACCCTGCCCATCCGGCCCACAGGCTCGCTGCAGGTCAGGGCAGCAGCGGCAAGGCGGCAGGCGGCAGCATGGCTCTGGGCAAAGGGGGGGGTCCTGGGCAGCCCCTGCAGCCCCCGGCCGGCTGTCCTCGGGGTGCAGCGGGGAGAGGGTCCAGCGGTGGCCATCGGGGGCTGGTGAGGCTCGCCCGCTACCGGTGCCCACCTGGAGGGAGCGGAGCTGGGAGGCCAGCAGCTGCTCGGGAGCACTGTGCCGGTGTGGTGCGTGGCCCTTGAGAGGGGACAGCAACGGGTCATCACCTGCTGCCACGGCATCCGGCACTCTGTGCAAACCACCGTCTGGGTACAGCTGATCACCAGGCTCTGTGCTTTCCCCCAGGAGTGGCTCAGCCGGGCACCGGTCCGGGTGGGAGCTCAGCATGTAATACTGGTCGGCAGAGAGACGGTCCTTCATGTGGTGCAGTGCCAGCGTCCTCCTGCCTGCTGCCTCCATCTCCCCATCCCGCTGGCAGAGGAAGGTGTCGGAGATCCACCGGCCCTTGGCATGCAGCATGTCCACCGACACCGATGCCCGGCGCCTATCCCCTCCACCAGCCGGGGCTGCCCGCAGGCTGTCCCTCCTGACAGGGGGCTGGGGGGGCACAGGCACTCGCCAGGCCTCAGGATGCCGGCTGGCAGGTGGCTCAGCGCCTGTGGTCAGGTAGCGCCCGTCAGGGGGCTTGCAGGGGCCTGGGAGGGCAGAGTCAACAGAGGCGGCTTCCTCAGGGCGGAGGGAGAGGGCGCAGTCAGAGGCGATGGAGCTGGCAGAGAAGGAGCTGTACGCTGAGTCCCGCTTGCTGTGGTACATGCCCTGGTCAACGGGTGAGGGGTCCCCTTCATAGTAGGCCTGGCCGGGCTGGTCCAGGCTCTCCATGCTCCCGATGGAGCTGCTCCGGTCGGTGCTGCAGTGCCGGGACAGCGGGTTCCACTGCAGGGACAGCTCGCTGCCGCCCGGCCCCACGCCAGCATTAGGGGCGCCTGCCGCCCCCTGCCCAGCTCCCTGCCAGCCCCTCCGATGGGCGTGAGATCCTGGGGAGCCAACACCCCACCACCACACACACACACACACACACCCACCCCCGGGACAGGGGGGCACAGGTGGGCACAGCCCCAACCTGCCCTTCAGCCCTGGGTCTGGGGGCAGCATGAAGGCTGCCCCGGCACTGGCAGCAGGAGCGGGCACAGGGACACAGGGCGTGCATGGCTCCGGCCACTCGGGACCTGCCCGTTCTGGCGGTGGGGGGGGCACTGGGACTCGGCAGCTCCTGGCCAGCTCCAGCGGAGCCACCGCCCCTTCCTGCCGGGAACCGGCGAGTAAACAGGCAGGGGAAAGGGCAGCGCGGCAGCAGGACACGGGGGGATGCCCGACAGAGGCATGGGGCAAGTGAGCGAGCTTGCACCCTCCCCTCCCTGACCCAAGCAGGTGCCCCATCCGCCCCCTCCCCTTGCTCGGTCCCATGGGTGCCCCAGGGGGTGGGTCGGGGGTCTCACCTGACATCACACCCTGAGGGCCAGGAGAGGCTGAAGGCGTCAGCGGGGCAGTGCATGGCAGGGGCGTCGGGGCGGCTTTCGGCGAGCTTGGCCATGTGCCAGGAATGGGGCCGGAGGACGGGCACGTTCCTCCTGCCAAGAGCAACAGCGGGAGAGGACAAGAATGGGGAGGAAGCCGGGCCGAGGAACCGGGGCTGAAGTCACTTCCTACGGGGCTTCCTGTCCCCCCCAGGCCAGCGCCCGCCTGAGGGGGATGGCGGCGAGGAGGGTCCAGCCCTGCCAGCACCCGGTGCCGGGCAGGGGGATCCCACAGTTCCCCCCCGCTGCCAGGGCTCCCCTGTCTGCGGCATCCCTGCTGCCAGCATCAACAGGGGACCAAGGACGTGGCCCCAGCGCAGCCCCGCGGGCAATGCCCCGGCAAGGCAAGGGTCTCTGCTGGGACTGGACCAGCTCCGTGGGCACGCCAAGGGACCCTGGGGCCACATCCATGTCCCCACTGCAAGCCTGACTTTCCCTCCTTGTTCCTTGGTCCCTCAGCATCTGCAGCAAGCGCCAGCCACATCGCGTCCCCAGGGAGCAGTCCTGTGCCAGGCCCTGTCCCACTCCCCATGCCAGGCAGCCAGTCCCCATGCCATCGCACAAGCAGGCAGCGATGTCCAGTGCCACCACACAGACATACAGGCAGATGCCACCTCCTGTAACCCCCAAGCATCCGGTGCTGCCCTAGCATCCACCGGGTGGGCAGGGCGGGTGGCAGGGATGAGCTGTGGGGTCAGCACAGGGGTCCCTCCCCCCCCAGAGCCCTCAAACTCACCATAGATGATGCTGAGCCCCAGCACAGCCCCGTGGCACCCCGTGCCCTGTGCTGCTCCAGCCCCT